CACTGTCAATCTTCTGATCAAATCCTTCTATGGCTCTCCCTTTGCTTTTGGATAAAGTATAGATTGTTCATCATGTCTTCCAAGGTTCTGCATGATTCATTCCTGCTAATTTCTCTGGCCTCATCTGAACCTCTTCCCCTGTTGAAGCGTACATTTCAGCCAATCTGATTTTCCTGATAATAGTTTCCCAAATTTGTCATCCTTCCTTTTCTCCGGGTCTTCTCTATTCCTCTGGTTTTTTCTCCCTTCGCAATGCTCTGTCTCTATGCTGTCCGTGTCACTTTTTCTTGTTTGAATTGTCTTGGGTCTCTGCTGACTTGTAACTTCCTAAAGCCTACCTTACTGGATCCCTTAATTTTGGGTTGATACCCCTTCTCTGTGCTCCTATGGCAGTCAGCACCCACCCTCACTACAGCATTTGACACATTGTTCCTTTTGTCCCCCCTCCTAGATTGGGAGCTCTTGCAGAGAAAAAACAACAGCAATAACAACTGTGTTTTGAAATCTTTACTCACTATACCTCATAAAATTCTTCCCACATAGAGGTTACACAACAGTTTGAGTAAATAAATGAATTATTGAAAAAAATAATGAATGAAAATGCTGTCTCCTCCACCTGATTCTGTGTCTCTTCTCTAATTTTGCCAATCTGAATGGAGTAGGTTTCTGAAGGCTTCTCACACTCATGGTTAAAGAATATATATTGAAAAAAAGAATATATATTGAGCCCTGAGTGTGTGCCAACAATCATTATGTGTCATGACTGACAAAATAAATAAATAAATAAAAATCCTGCACACATTCAGGTGTTTCTAAAGGAAGAAAAAAAATCCCTCTATTTTTGAGAAACAGAAGCCCAACTATTCCTCGATAAATGTTTTTATTTCCCAGGGACTAGTAGCAGCTCTCTTCCTAGTTTCAGATTAAATGTGAGAAGGATGTTCGTATGATACAGTCTGTTATTATGAGATAGGCATCATGGTGCAGTGGAATTAGGCTTTAGGTTTGAAGTTACTGTGTTTGGGTTTCAGTCCTCATTTGGCATTTTTTTGAGCACTCTCAAATACAATAAAATGGGGAAAATGCTATATACCTCAGGAATTACTGGGAGGGTTAAATGAGTTTAATGGTGTGAAAATTCTTATTTATTTATTTATTTATTTATTTGACAGAGAGATACACAGTGAGAGAGGGAATGAATACAGGCAGGGGGAGTGGGGAGAGAGAGAAGCAGGCTTCCCACGGAGCAGGGAACCCAATGTGGGCCTTGATCCCAGGATGCTGGGATCATGACCTGAACCGAAGGCAGATGCTTAACGACTGAGCCACCCAGGCACCCCCGGTGTGAAAATCCTTTACAAATAAGTGAATCTGCAAACGAGTCCTCATTTATATTCCCAAAGGAGTTGACTATCATATATGGCAAAGACACATCTCCACTGGGAATGGTTAAAGGAAATGCAGTAATTATTTCCAAATTGTCCAACACCAGAAATTTGTGGCCTTGGTCCCCTGTTTCCCAACCTAGCTGATAAAAATTGATACCTTTGTCATTGTCTTGGATCTGGTGAAAAAGAGAGTGTACCTCCTCTTCATCTGAGGGTTGAGCTTGTGACTTTTTTCCCTGTCCCAGATCTCAATAGTTTGGAGAGAAAATGAAAAATTATTTCCCATCCTGGAGCTGACAGTCCTTGAATTTATCATTACTGATTTCGGTAAGAATAGTGCTTATAGATTTCACTTAGCAGTAAGTGTGTGTGTGTGAACGATCTGCTACAGAAATCTTGCATATGATTATACTTTTGCCAACCACTTTTATAATTTTGTTGTATCTCAAATAACTTAGGTAAGCATAATAATTATAATTCCTTGAAGGTTGGTACTTTCCTTGTAGGAAAATGTTATCTCTTTTACAGTTTTGCTGAATATATGGCATGCATTCACACTATGAGAAAAACTTCCCAGGTTAAAAAATAATAATAATATAATCTGCATTGTTTTTGCAAAAAGTTATAAATATGCCTACCTACAATTTTCTGTTATGAGAAGCTATCTTTGTAGATCCTATAGCTAGTATCCTAGTCTTTGTATTTGTTTTTGATCATTTGATTAAGGACTGAAGCCATGCAACCACCCAAATGCTTGGGGGAAATTACAGATCCCATCTTCTTCTCCTTAATGAGGAGCACATATCCAGATGTCTCTTTTCCATCAAACCATGCTCTGAGGCAGTATAGCATGGCGGTTAGGAACATAGGTTTGAAATCAGATAGATCTGGGATTGAATGATCTGTCCATAATTTTCATGCTGAATGATTTTAGGCAAATTACTCATACTCTCCGAGCCCTAGTTTCCAACTGGTTAAATGAAAAAAATGCCTTTTTTGTGGTCCTGTTAGGCTGAGATGATAGAAAGTACATGTCACAGCAGCTGGCCCATATTATTCACACAATAAATATGTGATTAATGAATGATTTTTATTATAATGTTATTGTTATCATGATTATTATTACCTTCTAGGCACATATCTTGAAGGCACAGGTTTTCGTTAATCCTCAAACTTCCTGATTTACTTCCTAAAGTTCTTTTATTTTATTTTATTTTTTTAATTTAAATTCGGTTAGCCAACACATAGTATACCTCCTAAAATTCTTGAGTCCTCTCAGGCAACACGTTCTGTCTTACTTGAAGGTATAATTAATGAACGCATGTAATATAGTGGGAACAAAACAGTCTTTGAAGACAGATAGACCTGGAATCAAATTCTAAATTTACCAGATACTAGTGCTATCTAACATTGGGCAAGTTTCATCACTGAGTTCCAGTGTTCTCTCTAAAATGAGGATCTGGATGTCTATGTTGAAAGGTTGGGAAAGGAAATGAACAGTATTTGAAAAGCACTTGGCACAAATTAGGTGCTAAATCAGATTTTATTAACAATGTGACTGTTTTTAGCCTTACAGCAGCCCAACTGCAAAGATGGTGAATTTGTTCTTTGTCTGCAAGCTCTACTTTCATTCTGCCTGTAATCCCCAAACTTCTCCTGTCCTCACTTTGTCTGAGGAGGTCAGTGCCCTTGTTCTGCCATCCAAACCTGGCCCCAAATATGAATGGCTCCCAGCCATCCCATCTCAGTGAGAGGGTTGGCCATGGGAATTTCTCTTCCAGGAATATTTACTTTAGTTGGGAACTTAAAGCCTTTTTTTTTCTTGCTGAATGAATTTCAAGTACCAGCAGCCTACTGAGTGTGGTATTTTGGGTGGGGATGTGGAAGTTTCAATGTTGTTCTGGAAATCACACTACATAGGCATCGTTCTGCGTGTTCCCCCAAGAAAAACTGACCCAGATCATTTGAAGAATCTCAAGTAAATTGGAGAGAGTGTTCTGTCATTCATTTTCCACAATCCATGAAGATGTTGGGGTCAAGGTTGGGTCCAAAGTGCTGGAATCTGTGCAGAAAGCCTAGAGGCTTCTGCTTCTAGGTCTAAGTAGAAAGCTCCCTTTCACCTATTTCTGGGATACCTAATAGAAAACCATTCATAAATATTCTGATTTGATATCTGGTTCCAGACATTACAGTGAGTGAGTTGGCTCCCTTTGCTGTTGCCTTTGAAAGTTATTGTCCAACATGAATTTTCAACTACTAGATTAAAATGGTTCATGATTACACTCTTCCTTTCACTCATTTGGGGGTGGGGGATCCAGGTCTGGTGGTACATGGTTGCCTTCCAGATCCAGTTGATAAAGCAATGGTGAGGCCACGTCCTCATCATAAACACATCTGTTTCTAGGCTCTCTGTTTTCCTCCATTGTTGTATTAGTTTATCTTTGTAAAGATACATTTTGTTGTAATCAATATACCTTTACAATAAGCTTTGATATGTTATAGTGAATCCCTGCCTTCTCTTTTAAAAAAACACATAGATATTTTGATAAATATTGATTTAGGTTAGGAAATTAATCTCTTACAAGCTACTTTAGAGACACTGAAAAGATTAGAATTCCTTTTAAAAATTACATTTGGCTTTTAGATCATACTTCTTTGAGTGTGATGCCATGTGGCAACTAAATAACATGGGACCCCAGGATTATTAGGATGAAACCTAGGTCTTGAACAGGCCTGATGTAAGTTTCTTAAGAGGATACTGTGATAAATTTAACTGAATGTGACATCTTTTATTAGAACAAATTTATGTTGTGTATTCATTAATTATCTATGATAGATTCTGGGTCTACAGCCAATGAACAAATCAGCAGTAATCACGGAATGTGTCAAGAAGCAGAGGATGAAGAATTAAACAGATTACTACACACAAAATTATGAAGGGCAATGAGATTTCTTTTTTAAGATTTTATTTACTTATTTTAGAGAGAGAGAGCTTGAGCAGGGAGGCGGGGAGAGGAAGAGGGAGAGAGAATCTCAAGCAGACTCCACACTGAGCGTGGCTCAATCTCATGACCCTGAGATCATGACCTGAGCCAAAATCAAGAGTCAGATGCTTAACCAACTGAGCTTCCCAGGTGCCCCATGGGCAATGAGATTTCTGATGTCAAGTAATTTACTCTGCTTCCAGAGAACAAAGTCTGGAGTCCAAATCCCAGCCAGTCCTTTTCTTACCTCAGTGACTTTGAGAATGTCTGCCTCAGCTAGCCCATCTGAAAAGTGGAAATAACAATGGTACCTCCCTCACTCATATACTTAAGACTGTTGAATCAGTTACAATACATGAGCTATTTGAATAGTGCACAAGGACCACATTGAATAAACATTAACTGTCAGTATTATAATTTGCAGAGACTGGCACCGATTGAGAAAGAAAGTGGTTACATATCCTAAATATACATGTTTTCTACATTTATCCAGCAAAATATGCCTCAAATGTAAGAAAATATGAATGAAGACATTCCTAAATCAAAAGAACCTCTTTGTTATACTGTGCCACAGTGATCACTTTTTTATCCAGAAACATTCCACATTTTCCTTTCAATTTTCTCACCGGTACCCTTCAGCTGATATACCAGCATGAGGAGGGAGAACCAGAGCAGCATGTCCAAGTTCCTCCTCCTGGGGCTCCCCATCTGGCCAGAGCAGCAGGGTGTGTTCTTCGCCCTGTTCCTGGGCGTGTACCTGACCACAGTGCTGGAGAACCTGCTCATCATCCTGCTCATCAGGCTGGACTCTCGCCTCCACACCCCCATGTACTTCTTCCTCAGCCACTTGGCCTTCTCTGATATTGCGTTCTCATCTATCACTGTCCCAAAGATGCTGATGAACATGCATACTAAGTACAAATCCATTCCTTATGCAGGGTGCATTTCACAGACATATTTTTTCATACTCTTTGCTGATTTAGACAGTTTCCTGATCACTTCAATGGCCTATGACAGGTATGTGGCCGTCTGCCACCCTTTGCATTATACCATCATCATGAGTCAGAGCATTTGTGTCACGCTGGTGGTTGGGTCCTGGGTCATTGCTTGTGCTTGTGCTCTTTTGCATACTCTCCTCCTAGCTCGGCTGTCCTTCTGTGCTGACCACACCATCCCCCACTTCTTCTGTGACCTTGCTGCCCTGCTCGAATTGTCCTGCTCAGACACTTCCCTCAACCAATTGGTGATCTTTACTGCAGGATTAATAGCCATTATGCTTCCATTCGTATGCATTGTGGTTTCTTATGGCTATATTGGGGCCACCATCCTCCAGGTTCCTTCTACCAAGGGCATCTGCAAAGCCTTGTCCACTTGTGGATCACATCTCTCAGTGGTGACTCTCTACTATGGGGCAATTATTGGTCTATATTTTCTTCCCTCATCCAACAACACCAACATCAAGAACATAATTGCTTCATTGTTGTACACAGTGTTCATTCCCATGTTGAACCCCTTCATTTATAGCCTGAGAAATAAAGACATGAAAGGGGCCTTGAGAAAACTCTTGAGTAAGAAAACATATTCTTTCAACTGATAGTTTTATTTTAAAATATCCATATGATCTTATTTCCTCAATTACATGTAAATACAAATTACTGTAACGATAGCTTACTTGTCTTCTTTCCACAGTGTCACACAGAAATACTTTGCTGACATTATCCTTGCACCTGTTAGGGAGACTAGTAAAATGGGACATGCCTTATAGGACTTAATTTGCTCTTTTCTTGGATAATGGGATCAGAAAATACTTTGAAGGTGCTGTATCACTTTGGCTGGTATCATCAAATGGAAGCCATTGAGGCTGAGCTTTCCCCAAATTTTTGGATTGTTATAAAATATATTTGGTCTTTCATGCATACATTTCTAAGGAATTTTCCATTTTGATGATGATATGTCTCCTTCTTCACTCAGACATCCAGGTATTCAGGGACTCTGAGCCCTTCTAGAACTTCCAAGAAGAATATAGTAAATTTTACTTTCCTTACATAATAATTAACACACTGCTTTCTTGTCCTTCAGGAATACAACCCACATGCTCTTTCTTCCCAAACATGCACAGATATTCAGCAACAAAATAAATGTCACCTCAGTTGTCTCAGGTACTGGTCTAAGCTGCATTAAAATCATCTAATTTAATTCTGACAACAACCCTAAGAGATATTTTGAGAAAACTCATGCTCAAATAAATATTTTGGCAAAACTCATGCTCAAAAAAAATCTTAACATCAGAGTTAGTGAAAGAAGATTTGAATCTTGCTGTCTGCAAGGAATATAATTGTTTATATGGAACACTGTGTCCTTGGGAGGAATAATTATCTCAGTCTAGTGGCAGAGGATATGAAAGACTCCCCCAGAGAAGGTGCTGCTTTACCTTAACAAATCAGAATTAATCAGACACATAAAGTTCTATCTTGTTCTGGTGATCACAGGAAGAGGGAACAGCACGTTCAGGATATTAAACTGGAAGTTTCAACTGAGGTACCAAGATTTGATAGACACCAGATGCCAAAGTGAGTTGTAAGTCACAAAATGTAGATGTTTATAGGAAATGCCCAATACTCATAACTCATGAGCCTCTCAACGTAGACATGGGTCTAAAAAGTGCTAAGAGGTAGCTATGAGAGGTTCTCATAAAGTGGTGGGGAGTTTTTTTGAGAAAGCTGCATGGTGAACGCCAAATCCTCTCAACAGACAAGGAGGTGCTTTCCTCCTCACTTCAAGCTTAGTGGGAGAAGCTTCAAAAGAACCATTTAGAGAATTTAATACGTATCTCTTACTTTGATGAGAACAAGAGCAATAGGAAAGATGAAATGGGGAGGGGAGGGGGAATTGGAATTATGGAATAGAATTATGTTTGAGAAATTCCTTCACTTCTTTTCATGGTGGGGCAATAAAAGCAAAAATGTTTCCTATGTGTGGAATCACTATGCTGTACACCTGAAACTAATGTAACATAATATGTCAACTATATTTCAATTAAAAAAAAAGGTTCCTATGGACTATAGGTGGGTTATGTGAGAGAGAGAACTGGTGGGAAGCCATGTTCAGTTCTCCCCCAAGAAGACCATGAGCAAGTCTAGGAAACTCAGAGAGAGTAAGAGATCTGTAGGGAATGTACCACCACAAAACCAGGGGCTCTGAGGGGAAGCAATCCCAGGAAGAAATATACTTTAGCTATATCACAGGGGTTGTGTGGGAAGGCAGCCTGGGAGTCTCTGAGACAGGGAAGTGTTTTTGTTTTTTTTTTTTCTTTTTAAAAATCCAGACATACTTGGTTTAAACCACCTTGAGAATCACATGATTTACTAGCCAGTGCCAGTACAAAGCCTCAGTGGGGGATGGAAATCTCCAAAGTGCTGTAAAAACTGGATCCTGTTGAATTGTCATCAAAGCAGATACTATTGATATTCTGTTTTTCTATTCTGATGACATGTAGCTCAGCTTATTATTGCACAGTATTAATTAGGTCAGGGGTACGGGTTTCCCTCTAGAAACTCAATTGGCTTCTTTTTTTTCCCCAAGGTCACAAACTTCCCCCATACTTTGAACAATGCCTTACACATTAGCTGTCGGTCATAAAGTGTGTGTGTGTTGAATGATGGTAATATATTTGAGTTTGAAGGACATTTACTCTGACACCGACACTATAGAACCATTATCAGTCTTGTAGGTTATTTTGCTAAACAACTCTATCCTTTGAACAAGACTAAGGGTGGACCCACCTAACACTGAATTATCTGCAGTAGATGGTTCTAGAGGGGGTTCCACTGGGGTATTTTTACTATTTATGTAAATTTAAGATGTTCCCTCTGACAAGAAATCTGAATCTATCATTCCACAGCCTCCGCACTTTTCCTGATGCCAAATCCGTTCCTCATTGTCTATAAAATAGAGTGATTGCCATTTTCAAGGTGACTTTCTCAAGGAAGCACTTAAAGTCAAGGACACAAATCATAAAATAATGTATTAATGACTTTAATCACATTAAAATTAAGACATTGATAGATAATTTAAAAAGCTAACAAGCTTCCAATAATGGAAGACATTTGCAACATATACAACTGACAAAGGATTAATTTCCAGATTATATGAAGTCCGTCTGACAATGCAATAAATAGAAGAGAAACAATCCAATAGAAAAGCAGGGAAAATACATTATCATGTATTACATAAAAGAAATTTTGTACCGATAAGGATAATGATGGCTGCTGTAATAGGTCCAATGTGGGTCTTCTAGCAGGTTGATGGCATTTCACTATGCAGTAATTTGAGAACCAAGTTTAATGATCTCTCAGGGCAGCAGTTAATTTTCTGTCAGACAATAGGGGAGAAAACACAGATGTTTCTTTAAAATTCTGGCCAGAATGTGCCACATAGATTAGCACTTAGATTAGCAGGGAATGTGGCAGCAGTCTGCCACTGACAACTTCACACTTGAGAAGAAGGTCGTGAATTTTTGGTGGATAGCCAGCCATCTCTGTCACAAATATCCAGTAAGCATAGGTTAAGATGCTCTACGTCATAAATAGTCAGAGAAATTGGAAGTAAAACCACAACGAGATACCATTTTCTATTCACCGGAGTCGCAAAAATTAAGAAATCTGTTGTTGTTGAAAAAGTAAAGTAATAGGAACTCTCATACTCAAGAAATGGAAATTTAAATTTAATAACTTTAAAAAATTAATAGGCTTTATTTCTTAGAGCAGTTTTAGGTTTACAGAAAAAGTAAGCATAAAGTTACTATATGCTTCATTCCCATCCCTGCCCAGTTTGCCCTGTTATTAGCATCTTGCATCAGTTTGGAACTTCTGTAATGATTGAACCAACATTAATGTATTATTAACTAAAGTCCATAGTTTACACTAGAGTTCACTCTTTGTGTTGTATAGTTTTTTGTGTTTTTGATAAATGTATAATGATGTATTTCCACTGTTATAGCATCATACAGAATAGTTTCACTGCCCTAAAAATCCCCTTTGCTCTATGTATTTACCTTTCTCCTCATCAAGCCCTGAGCCCTGGTAATCACTGATCTTTTGTTGGCTCTATAGTTTGCCATCTCCAGAGTGTCATATAGTTGGAATCATACAGTATGTAGCCTTTTCAGCCTGGCTTCTTGACACAACTACTTTATAGAAGAGTTTAGTCGTGATAGTTGAGTGGAACATCACATGCCTACAATCCAGTAATTCTTCTGGGTATATAATTTATAGAATTTCTTGCATAATGTGCTAGATGATGTATAAGAGTGTTTGTAGCATCATTTCTCTTAATAGCAGAATGCTGAAAACAAACAAAATAGCCATACAACTAGAACAAACAAGTGTGTGATAGTTTCACAGTGGAATGTAATAAAATATGGATGAATTTAACAAGGATAATATCAGACAACAAAGGCAAAACCTTGAAAAATATTCAAGTGATTTAAAGAACTCAGGATTTGACTCACACCTAGACTATTTATTTCATTTATATGCAGTTCTAGAGCAGGCTAAATTGAAGGAGCACTACAGATGTGTTAAAGCTTTAAATAAAAGTAAGAGAATATTGAAATATTAAAAACATTGGGTACTTTCTTTTTTTCTTTTTTGGAAGTTAAAGAGTCAAAATTAATATTTTGGTTAATTGGCCAAGGGGACCCTCAGGATAGTGGCCCCAATGTGGCCATAAGAGACCAGGATGCATATGAATGGCAGGGTAATGACCACCCCGCCTACAGTTATAAAACTAATACATACCATCAAAAAATCAAACAATACTGAAAAATATAAAGAAGAAAGTAATCATAATCCATAGCCCCAGTACTCTAACAAAACAGTATGAACATTAGGACATATACGTGTGAATACATATACACACACTTAATGGGTATCTACGTAAAAATTATTGGGCACTTGCAACAGGAGAGGAAGATACAGTTGCAGAGGAGACAAGGGGCTTCAACGATATTGTTAGTTAACTAGAATGTCTTACTACTTAAGCCTAGAGATTGTTAAATGAACATTTCTTTTAATATTATTCCTTAAAGTGTGATTATATGTCACATGTGTATAAACACATACACACATATTCATACATACAACATACCATGTATATATACATATAAATTTAAGCCATATATATGCCATATATGCTTTTTTGTATGCTATCTCCATATTTTTTAAAGTTTAAATAAAACTTCCAGTAAAATGGGTAAAAATATTACTCAAGTTTGAAAAATATTCAAGTGATTTAAAGAACTCAGGATTTGACTTCACACATACAGCATTTTAAGTACCACCTCTACTAAACATTGCTAGTTTTGTGTCACTGGGCTACTTACTAAGCATCTCTTAATATGAATTTCCTCCTTTATATCAATTACCAGGATTAAATGAAGTAATGAATATGGAAATATTTGTCACAATTATCAGCTTGTAGCTGTGAAATTACTTAGTTATATCTGCCTTGAGTAGAGGTAGTTTCTCAAGGACTGAAAGCAAAGTGAACATTTCAGATGAAAACATAGGACACTATATTTATGTACGTGGGACA